AAATTTATAAGTCATTACTGTTATGACTTGAACTATTTCAAATTATTTCTTGCTTGTTTTACATCCATAACTTTTGCCCACAAGTTATGTGGTTTCCTGGTGGGCTACACAACACTCCACGCCTAGAGAGTTCTGGCAAGACAGGCCCAACCAATAAGATGGCAAATTGTTGATCAGCTTGGGCTTAGGTTCGGATTGGAGTCAGGCTACCCATGTGCTTCCCCTTGTGATTGGCCCTTCCAGTAGTATTATAAAACCATCTCTAATGGAAATTGAAATCTTTACTCTAATTTGAACCAAAAAAAAAAAGAAAGAATAAATATGGACATTTTCAATAAAAAAAATTAAAATTAAATGAATACAAACTCAAATTTAAAAATTTGAATCTCCTTTAATTTAGTAGGTAAATACCTAGGTATACCAGTATTACATAAAAGAGTTTCTAAAGAGCATTTTAAAGACATTGTTGAGAAAATTCGGGTGAAATTGTCTGGATAGAAAACTAATAATTTGTCCATGACAGGTAGGGCAACACTGATTCAGGTTGTCACTGCCACTATCCCTAACTATGCTATGCAAACTCAATGGGTCCTCCAGTCCATCTGTGATTAAATTGATAGGCTGAATATAAATTTTTTATGGGGGGACACAGAGAAAAAAAAGAAATTTCACTTGTTAAATTAGGACGAAGTGTGTACACCCAAAGCTAGTGGGGCCATAGGGTTAAGAAAGAGTAGAGATAATAATGCTGCACTCCTAGGGAAATTGGGTTGGGAGCTTAGAGCCAATAGTAAAAAATCCTTGTGGGTTGAAATCATGAAAAGTAGATACATTACTATGAACTCTGAACCTTGGAAAAAACAAAAGGGTAATGCATCTCCCATTTGGAATGGGATTTTGAAATTTTGTTACTCGTTAGAAACAAGTATAAAATGGATTGTGGTGATGGACAAAGCGTTAACTTCTGGAAAGATTGGGGGGTTGGAGACAAACCACTACTGCAGCAACTGAACCTTCAAACAAACATTGACACAGAGGTTAAGGTGGCTAACTTTATTGGACCAAATGGATCCTGAAATTTGCAATCCACAGGTATGATTCTTCCTCTTCATATTGTTCGAGAGATCTTATTCACTACACTGCCACAATTCAACCAGCATTTAGATTCTATGTCCTGGGGTAAGGTAGCAAATGGTAAGTTCTCATCCAAAGACTTCAATGATCTTCTTGCTGATAACACCTCTTTCACTGTTGTTGATAGAAATGGAAATATATTTGGGAAATGGAAATTCCTCAGAAGCTAAAGTTTTTTCTTTGCCTTGTCCTCCATGATAGAATCCAATTTAATAAACTTAGAGTTGACATATGTATGACAGATGATCCTACTTACATTGTTGAGACAACCATCCACATTTTAAGAGATTGTAGTAAAGTTCAGAGAATTTGGAGTTACTTTCTTACTCCACAGGAAAGACATACCGATAGAAACCTGAGTCTTACACAATGGTTTGAAAAATATTGCCTATCTACTAGTAGGATCACTTGGAACAATATTAATTGGACTCAACGTTTTTTGTATAGCCATAATCTGGGGTATATGGATAGAGAAACAAAGTGTACTTTGATAGTGCTTTATCTGAGGCTGCTATTACTGCAAAGTCTTCCATCTTACTTGCCAAAGAGATTATTGAAGCTTTTGATGATAGGCAAACTGAGAAGTTGTAGGTTCCAGTGAGACTGATTAAGTGGGTTTTTCCACCTGCAGGTTACTATAAGATTAACACTGATGGGAGCTCCAAAGGCAGCCTTGGAACAATTGGGATTGGTGGCTCTCTTGGGAACGATAGACGGAAATGGATCAAGGGCTTTATGGGCAGAATAAACCACACTACAAGCCCTAAAGCTGAACTCTGGGCCATTCAACAAGGCCTTCAATTGATTTTGGATAGGAGTAGGAACTTTATCTTGAAGACAGACCTCTTAGAAGCTTTCAATCTGCTGGTTGGAACCCAATCAGCTAATCACCCTTTCAAAGTCCTGGTGGACAATTGCACGTTCATCATCTACTCTCTTAATATTTATGTGGTATATATGCTCAGAGAGGGAAATCAATGCACTGATGGCCTCACGAATTTAGGCGTTAATCAGTCTATTGATTTAGGTTTTCTTTATGAACCACTTGACTGTATTGTTCATTTGCTTAGGCAAACATGTCTAGTCTTAGCTTTATTAGGGAACCCAGGTAACTTTTATTGTGGTTCCCTCCACAACACAAAAAAAAAATACAGCATTAAATAAGATTTTTAAGGATATTTTTATCTAAATTTAATTTTAGGTCTAGAAAAAGATAAAGAGGATAGACTTTCGAACCCAACGTATTTGATGCATGATCCTTTAGAGCCGTAGTTTCGGGATTAGATTGCAAAGCCCAAAATGACATAATTAAATTATTGTTTAGCCGATGATGAATTTTTGTGCAATGATCGAGATGCTCTAATAGACGACCAAAGCTCGATTATGAATTCAGAGTTTGCTAAATTCAATTTTTTTTCAAGGGAGTGTAAGATCATTTCTAATGGAGACTCATACCATTACTCAAATTTAAGTAAAAAACTTAATTTGATATAGGTCTCTCTAATGAATAAACTTTTTTTTAGACTCAAAACTTTTTTTTAAAATTCCCTTCTTATCCTAAGAGTTCTTTCCTTTTATTTTTGCCTCGATTTTTTTTAAATAACTAAAAATCATTGCATATATATATATATGTGTGTGTGTGTGTGTGTGTGTGTGTGTAGAGGGCCACTGAAAAAAGGCGAAGAAAAAGACAGAGAGAGAGTTTACCAACATGACTGTTTTGGAGTAGAAGACGAATTGAACCTGCTAATGATACGATAGTCTCACTAAAATTTGTGACCATTGGTAAAAAATGGTGTGTGATTTGGGTCTCTTTTGATTTTGGGTTAGAGTAGGATCTTTTTTTATTTAGTATGGATATGGGTCTAATACTAAAGAAGAAGTTTAGATAATTTTTATCCAAATTTAATTTAGAGTCCAAAAAAGAGTCGGGACTGAAATTGCCTTTAAATGAACGATAATTTGTAAAATTTTTATTAAATTATATTTGCCTCATTTATAATTATGTTTTATAGGTTTTATATTATGAAGGAATTTCTATTTTGTATATATTAAATTTAATAGGCTTTTAATCTTATTTGACTCATTTTATTAAGAGTGTTAATTTCAAATACCAAATTAAAAATAACACAATTGATAATACAAAAATAAATTGGAAAAATTTTAACAACACCCCCTCTAATTTATCATATCTTCAAAAACACTCTCCTCTAGTTTTTAAATCTTCAATGACACCCCTTCTAATTTAATTTAAATATCACTAACACCCCCTACCATTAAACTACCATTTCTAACAAAAAAAAAATTCATCTAAAATACAAAAAATGCCCCTACATAACTTCAAGTAATTTTTCTACATAAAATTTTATTAAAATTCGAGCTGTTAAAATTTTTAAAAAAAATTCGTGAATAACAATTTTAGTAAATAATTTGTTAGTAAATACTAATTTTTTATTTACTAATTTCATAATTTTTTTAAAAAAATCTAGTCTATTAAAATTTGAACTGATTTGAACTCTACCCGACTTGTTAGCGCCTATTAAAATTTTCTTTAGAATTGATTAATTTTTTTTTTATTTATTAAAATTCGTGTCAATTAAAATTTGATTTATTAAAATTTAAGTCAATTAAAATTCATATACTTTTATATATTAAAATTTGGGCTGATTAAAATTCTATGCAAATTGATTAAAATTTGATTTGAGTTGATTAAAAATAATTTTTAATTAGCTCAAACAAAATTTTAATTAGCCCAAATTTTAATACGTAAAAAAAATATAATTTTTAATTGACACAAATTTTAATATGTAAAAAATAAATTTTAATTAGCTTAAATCGAATTTTAATCAGTTCGAATTTAATAACATAAAAAAAATTAGAAAACAGAGGGAATCTCATTGAAAATATACTTATCTAGAGAGGGTTTCATGAAAGATATACTTATCTAGAGGGGGTGTGGATGAAGTTTGACCTCAAATATATCAAAGACAATTTAGTAAAATTACATTCTACTAATATTTTTAATATGACAAGGGTGTCATTGAAGATTCAAAAATTAGAGAGAGTGTGTTTAAAGATATGGTAAATTAGAGATAGTGTTGTTGAAATTTTCACAAATAAATAAATTATTTTAAAATTAAAAATTTGTTATTAACATGATTACATGAATATTGACACAAATAGGATAGTGAACATTTGCAATTGAGGTACCATGCAATAGAGGGGTAATATAAAAAATACAATAGTCTAGGGGTAAAATAAAATTGAGTCCATAGTTCAAGGGGTTGAATTGTAATTTTTCCTCAAAGAAAAAGAAACGCAGCTGGGAAGACGAAGAGGTCATTGGTGAATTCCATGGCCGAAACTTGCATCTTCTTTATCAATATCCCAGAAACAACTGTTTCTCTAGGTTACTCTCTCACACACACAAAGTTGAGGCCTCATCACTCTTTGTAAGCTACACCGACAATGTATTCCGAGTCAAAGAAGCAATCCAACATGACAGTTTCTGTGTGATTTCAGCGTCGACTGTAATAACCTCTCTGGTTTATCTACTCTTTTTCACTTTTTTACGATTCTGAAATCCGAAGTACTCAGCCGTTTCTCTGTGCTTTGCCTCTGAGGACTCTCGTCATACAATGGAATGCGAGCTTCAAAGCGGTGCAGAGCAATAGTGAGGCAACAAAGGGGGAAAAGCTAAAATGTCTCTTCGACTCGTGTCACTGACAGAAGTTCTTAAGAAATCATATAAAACCAGTGACCAGGAGCGTCAAGGCGACGAAACACGGCGGCGACGGAGATACGACGGGCCAATGGAGACTTCAAAGAACAAAGGAGAGATTAGTACATTTCAAGAACTGGAGGGAATGCCGTCTTATTCTTCACTCTCGCCTATTGTCCAATCTCTGGTTAACCGAAAAAACAGGTACCTATATGGGTCACTGCGACTTTGGTATATACAATCATAGCTCTAGTATGTTTTTGTAACTTGTACTTTAAAGCTTGTTAGTGTTGTTCCATTTCTGATGGTTTTTAAAGTTCTAGGTTTATGCAATTGCCCATTCTTTGGTATTTTTAAAAAGCGTAAGTGCAACTTCAGAAACAGAATTAGCATATTTGTTGTCTTTTCTATTTTTTTGAAGTTCTGGGACCTTCTTCATGCATACAATGGCACTACTTCAATAGCTAGTGCATGAAGATTTCTTGTGTTCAAGCGCTTGCCTACTTGATATTGTATATACAGATAGAGGGATAGAGAGGAGGGGGGGGGGGGGGGGNGGGGGGGGGGGGGGGGGGGGGGGGGGGGGGGGGGGGGGGGGGGGGGGGGGGGGGGGGGGGGGGGGGGGGGGGGGGGGGGGGGGGGGGGGGGGGGGGGGGGGGGGGGGGGGGGGGGGGGGGGGGGGGGGGGGGGGGGGGGGGGGGGGGGGGGGGGGGGGGGGGGGGGGGGGGGGGGGGGGGGGGGGGGGGGGGGGGGGGGGGGGGGGGGGGGGGGGGGGGGGGGGGGGGGGGGGGGGGGGGGGGGGGGGGGGGGGGGGGGGGGGGGGGGGGGGGGGGGGGGGGGGGGGGGGGGGGGGAGGGGGGGGGGGGAGGGGGGGGGGGGGGGGGGGGGGGGGGGGGGGGGGGGGGGTTACAGTTTGTTGGGGAATGATGGACATTGGGATCCCATGTAGTTGGGATTGGGCTTTCATAATTGGGCGCGGTATCCCTCATATTCATAGTTTCCAATGGAATTATGAATTCACTTATTCATATGCCTTTCCTGTTGATGCAATATTTTTGATGTCATTAAAATTAAGGAACTCAAACCTCTGTCAATCTCACCCGAGAATCACTTTTTGCTGATGCAACTAATATAATACTTATCAGGTCACTCAAGATGCATTATTGATCTTTTGGAGTGGGCTTTGAGATTATGATGATAGAGAAACTAGAGTACTGATATATATTTCATCATCCTCTCCTAAGAAATTTAAGAACAAAGTTGTATGATTATGGAGATGGCTATCAAAGGTAGCATGTGAGTATCTAATTTGTCATTTCTTGTCTATGTAGCAGGAGTTCAAATTTTGTCAATTGTTGCCAGGGTTTTCATTTCAAGATAGATTTTTCTTTCTTGGTAGGAATATAGGAATGGAGGATATACCTTTATAACCACTCTGAGAGTGACCTCGAGAATATTTGGTGTCTTTGTGCATGTAAAATGTTAATCAATGCATTCTGTTTCCGAACACCCTCCAATTCTAAGATTCCTAGCATATTGGTTGCAATGGTCAGTTCAATTTCAACTATTTGGCATGCAAGTTTAAGTTGACTAACCGGTTGTTGAGTAATCAACTATCTATGATTTAGTGACTTGTGATGGTGGTGGGAAGGGAAAGAAGAAAGGCAAAGTACCATTCAAGGTTGTGTGGGTCTCAGTTATTAGCCAGATAAAAGGTGATGATAACACAAAGATAATGGAAGTAAGTAGTTGCAGTTTTGCGACTAGATTCTTTATAAGGTCAAGGGGTCATAACTTTTCTATGTCCTCACTCGGCATGTTTGGTAACACAAAAGTTAATGCAACTTTATGAAAAATTCACATTAAAATTTATTGTTTTGTCATCAAATTTGACTATTTAACGCAAATGTGCTCTCAATGGAAATTGGTTTTCAAAATTTAATGTGAACCGCCAAAGTTCTGTTAATTATCCGAAATCTCTCCCTTAGATTTTTCTCCCTCCCTACTCTTTCACAATTTCACTCGCATATAGGATCGCCCTCGTTCCCTCTTTATCTCTCTTTCACTCCCTCCCTCTGCCTCTCTGTATCTCTCTCTCTCACATACACTTTCCCTTTCTTTGATAGATCTGCATTCTCTTGGCTCCATCTTTTGCTTCACTTCCTTAAATTTCATCTATCAATCCACAGAAGAACCAAGGTACAATTTATTGATTTTATCTTTCTAATTTGGGTTTCAATCCCTAGTCCTAATAACTTGGGTTTAAGGGGGGGGATCTATATCCACCTCTTTGATTATTTAGTTTGAGAGCATTTTTGGAGTGGATTTGCAAGATTTTGATGGTAGAAGAAAAAGGAAGAGGACGTAGAGGAAGATAAGCAGGAATTTAGGAATTAGGAGTTTAGGCAGCGATGGCTATGGTGAAACAAGTACCTTCCATAGGATAATTTTCAAACAACAGTTAGAAAAAAAATAGAACTCATGAATTTACTTATTTTTCATTGTCACTAATCCTTTAATTTTCATTTTTGTGGATGCTATGTTTAGAATCTAATCTATGTAGCTAAACTTCAAGTGGGTTATGTGTAACCTGTCTTCTTCACATGGTTCAGTGTGTAAGCATATAACCTTCACCCTCCCTGCCCTCCCAAGGACATGCATGTGAAACTTCTAATATGGTTCAAAGTCGAGGTATTGACTATTGACTTAGATAGCACTGTGACACATTAGTTGCATCTTATCGGAATGATATCGGTCAATACACATTGAATGTTAGATACAATAACGAAGTTAGGCATGATGAGAAACTCCGACCACATTAGGATGTCATGGACTGCCAAATGGGGATATGTACAACCGAATGGGGATATGTACAACCGATGATGATGAATCTAACGACTTGGCTGAGACATCTCTTTGTCAACCACAAGTCAAGTGAGACTCGTAGTCTATGCGGAACATGGAGTGATCTCGAAACGGAATGTGTGAATATGTATCGGTCTCAAAATGGAAGGTGCCATTCCGGATATGACTCGGCTAATACTTTGAACCATGACTTGTAATGTTGGTATTGTTCTTTTCATGTGTATTTATTAAACTATTTGCATTGATGGCAGTGGAAATTCTTCCCTGATAGCCACTAAAACGAGTATAATCCAAAATTCCCTTGCAAATGGAAGCAAGCATTCAATTGCTGAAGCTATTATCAACAGGTTTGTATGCTGTAGTTGGATTGGAACATTTTGCTTTACTGGGTTTTTGAATGTTTGTTCATGTATGTGTGCAGGGCAAAGCCTTGCGCTCCCAGCTGAAGAGGCAGTTGCCAGTGTTGTCCACCTGGTGGTGGATTACCTTGATAGGCATGATCAGCCTGAGATTCAAGTATGCAGTTTGTGGTGCATACGCTCTAGTAGTTACATTAGCTTGAGCTTATTATAATAAGCAGCAAAATTATGTACTTTCTGTACCAACTTCCATCTTTTTTGCATCTGCAGTTTGCTGTGGCTTGTGCACTGACCAGCATTGTATCCAGATCGTCAGAGCATGCACAACTTGTAGTTGATCATGGTGCCATCCCTAAGTTTGTTCAACTTCTTTACTCTTCAAGGGATTATGTTCAAGAACAGGTTGATTCTTGTGTTGTTTTACCCCATTCCCCTTCAATTTTGAAGTTCTGAATTTGTTCCTTTCTATTTATTTTCCCTCTACTTGTCATTCCTATGCATTGAACAGGCTGTATGGGCTTTGGGTCATATTGCTGGTGACTCACACATTTATAGGGATCTTGTTCTCTGTCACGGTGCACTCATTTCATTGTTGGCAGTGGTGCACGAGCAGTCAGAATTGTCTATGATAAGGAGTGCTGCTTGGGCTTTACTTAACTTCTGTTATGGCAATCCACCTGCTCCATTTGAGCAGGTTAGTTTTTCCAGAATCACTGGGCAGTGAATTCGTAAGGTCTGTGGGATTCATTATTTTTCTGTTGTATTTCAGGTTAAACCTGCGTTGCGAGCCCTTAAGTATCTTGTTTACTCTAGGGATGAAAAAGTTTTAACCGATGCTTGCTGGGCCCTCTGTTATCTTTCTGATGGCATAAATGACCAAATTCAGGATGTGATTGAGACAGGCCTGTGTGGACGACTTGTGGAACTTCTGATGTAAGATGCAGTTACATGGTACTATCTTAATAGTTTTTTCTTGTTCTCAACAACCATCTTTTCTTACAGTGCACAAGTGTTTGACATTACTTATACATGTAGACTTTGCATATGCAATTTATTTTTATGATATCTGTTCAACTGCTGCTGCTGAGGATTATTTTCCTGTAGTCATTCATCACCGGGGGTGGTTCTGCCTGCTCTTCTAACCATCGGGAACATTGTTCTGGGTGGTGATGCGCAGATTCAGGTATGTATAAATGTCTAAGTAATATTTATCGATCCGTGTATGGATGAAAGGTTATCCTTTTTCTTGTTTCCTTTTCTTTACGTATGCAGTTTCTTTTCCTTCTTGTTATATTGATTAATGTGGATAAATGATTTGGGAAATTGGAAGATTCTAGTTGTCACATTCTGGCAATGTTCTATATTCTTACTTGAAGGTATTTCAGGTTGAAGTTTAATATGACATAACTCAACTTAACTGAGCTTTGTTCCTATTATTCATGTCGTGGTTTAATTATGTCATTAACGGATTAAGTAATTATACTTGATTATTATGTTATGTTTCTGACGTGCATGTGTGTCTAGGTGGGTACAGTTTACATTTTTTCTATATAGTAGAAAAGATTTTAAAAACATTAATCACCACAACCAAATTATTCTTCAATATGTCAGCTATAAATAAGGCAGCAAATATTAATCTCACTGCTTGCTGCTGAGAAACATTTTTGTTTTTTGCTTTTTCTAGGTGGGGGTAGGGGTGGGGGTGGGGTGGAGTTCCCAGATGGCTTCTCATATGTCCACAAAGAGGGTTGTTTTTTTCTTCTATATATTTTTTATCATAGGGTTGCTGCTTTTGAATAGGGTTCTTATAGTGGATGGAGACCTAACTCATTTTTTTTTGTAGTTTTAGCTTCACTCATCTTCTTCTCTTATGCATGTGTTGGGTCATCCAATTTAGCTGGTGGTACGACTGAAAATAATGCCGAACTAACTCTGTATCTAGTGTACTTAACTACCTGCATTAGAAGTACAAGCATTGGTTAATGACTTTTGTCGAGGGCTTGATATATAGTCTTTGGCTCATCCCTTAACATCATAAACTTTTGGGACGATTGGCAGTCTAACAGGTAACAGCCTTTTTTATATTCTTAATTAACCAACAATAACATGAGCTATGTGGTTATAACTGACTAGTCATATCCTACATATTTCCATAGTTTTTTTTTTAGTAGAATTTTTGTTTATTATTACTCAATTTCTGTTTGTTAATGATGAAATCATGACTGTTTAAGCATGTTCTCAGCTTATAATGGACAACCAAAGACTTCCGTGCCTTTATAATCTCTTCGCACAAGATTATGGAATGAGCATCAGAAAAGGAGCATCCTGGATGATTTCGAATCTTACTCTCATAAATGCAGATCAAGTACAGGTAAGAATCTCAAGGTTTTCATCTGTGACATCTTCTGTGCATTTTCTATGCTACCCAGCAATTATTCTACAGTCATTTCATTTGGTGCACATCTGCTGTCGTGCACAAGTTCTGTAACTGCTATTAAGTGATAGAATATTTTGTTTCTGTGAACTTTGACAAAATGATTAGATTTTTTTTATTCTGCACCATTCTGAAACTTTTATCTCTATATCACTTCAAACGGTGGGGTTTGAGCATAGTGGAACAATCCCTGCTTCCTCTCCTTTCCCCAAGCCCAAAAAAGAGGTAGTAAAATATTAAGAGTTGAATCTCAGACACTAAAGTGGGTGTATAAAGATTTTGACCGAAGGCCATTGTAAAGTACCCATTTCAAACATGTCCTGGGGCAGTGAAAATCAGTTTGAATAGTGATTTAGCCACTGGATAAAGATACCTGTGCGTTCTCCTCATATTTCAAGGCTATGGTTCCCAATAAAGATTATGATGCCGGAGTACACTATGAATGAACAATATAGGTCTTTTAATGCCTGCGAAACCATGCCACAAGGCATCCATTTTGTCTGGATGCACGTGTGACTTGTAATTTTGATTTTGATTCNTGTTTTTTTCTTCTATATATTTTTTATCATAGGGTTGCTGCTTTTGAATAGGGTTCTTATAGTGGATGGAGACCTAACTCATTTTTTTTTGTAGTTTTAGCTTCACTCATCTTCTTCTCTTATGCATGTGTTGGGTCATCCAATTTAGCTGGTGGTACGACTGAAAATAATGCCGAACTAACTCTGTATCTAGTGTACTTAACTACCTGCATTAGAAGTACAAGCATTGGTTAATGACTTTTGTCGAGGGCTTGATATATAGTCTTTGGCTCATCCCTTAACATCATAAACTTTTGGGACGATTGGCAGTCTAACAGGTAACAGCCTTTTTTATATTCTTAATTAACCAACAATAACATGAGCTATGTGGTTATAACTGACTAGTCATATCCTACATATTTCCATAGTTTTTTTTTTAGTAGAATTTTTGTTTATTATTACTCAATTTCTGTTTGTTAATGATGAAATCATGACTGTTTAAGCATGTTCTCAGCTTATAATGGACAACCAAAGACTTCCGTGCCTTTATAATCTCTTCGCACAAGATTATGGAATGAGCATCAGAAAAGGAGCATCCTGGATGATTTCGAATCTTACTCTCATAAATGCAGATCAAGTACAGGTAAGAATCTCAAGGTTTTCATCTGTGACATCTTCTGTGCATTTTCTATGCTACCCAGCAATTATTCTACAGTCATTTCATTTGGTGCACATCTGCTGTCGTGCACAAGTTCTGTAACTGCTATTAAGTGATAGAATATTTTGTTTCTGTGAACTTTGACAAAATGATTAGATTTTTTTTATTCTGCACCATTCTGAAACTTTTATCTCTATATCACTTCAAACGGTGGGGTTTGAGCATAGTGGAACAATCCCTGCTTCCTCTCCTTTCCCCAAGCCCAAAAAAGAGGTAGTAAAATATTAAGAGTTGAATCTCAGACACTAAAGTGGGTGTATAAAGATTTTGACCGAAGGCCATTGTAAAGTACCCATTTCAAACATGTCCTGGGGCAGTGAAAATCAGTTTGAATAGTGATTTAGCCACTGGATAAAGATACCTGTGCGTTCTCCTCATATTTCAAGGCTATGGTTCCCAATAAAGATTATGATGCCGGAGTACACTATGAATGAACAATATAGGTCTTTTAATGCCTGCGAAACCATGCCACAAGGCATCCATTTTGTCTGGATGCACGTGTGACTTGTAATTTTGATTTTGATTCTCCTTAATGGAGTTTCCTGAGCTTCAAAGCAAATTTTTGGTAGCTTATGTGCCAAAATCACCCTTGTTTCTTTCAGATGGAGTTTTCCTAGGGTTTTCACATTCCCGTTAGTAAACCACTTTCTCTTGTTTGTTGAAATAGCAGCATGTACAGTAAAACCAGAGTCGTCTTCTTCCGGATTCATGGCAATGATAGATTTTGTACTTCTCAATTTCTTGACTATATTTTGAAACTACAATATGCTGTGTCTGCATTGATCCTGATCATGGTTAGAATGGACATATATAGTTTTTCAAATCTTCTCTTGTTGTGGAAAGTTGTACTCCCTCCATCTTAATGTTATAGGCTATCTTTCCTTTTGGTACATTCCAAAATTAACGTCGAGTCTGGGGAGTCAAAGTACTTTTTGATACAACATTCATAATATACCTTCCTTTCAATATTGTGATAACTTTTAACAAGTGAAATTTCAATTTGAAAAGAGGTGTTATGTTGGAAATTGGATATTTTCCACCATTGTTTAAACGCATTCCTTAAAAAGTTCGACTTCCCAAAAGGGTCCCATATGATGGAATAGAGGGAATATGTGATTTACTTTATAAGCTATTAACCTAGGTGTCTATAGTGAAGACAACTTGCATCCCACATCGAAATTGAGTGGATTCTCCAACCATCCCCTATTAGTTTTGGATTGAATGCCTCCCTTAGGTGATTGGTGGGCCAAGTCTGGGCCTATTTGAATTTCCCAATCCGTTAGTCTCCTTGTTTTGATTCCGCTTGTTTGGTTAATGGGTTCAATTTCCCACCCATTTGAATTCTCCTATGTGTTGTTTTCGTTTAGCTTGTTAGCAAACGTGCGAGTTCGGTCACTTGTGAGGGAGGGTGTGAAAAGTTGCATCCTAGATGGAGAGATTAGAGTCCACTAAAGTTGGTTTACTCAAGCCAATGTCAATTGATTTTAGGTTGGGTAACTCTAAGATCTATAGTACTTTGTACTTTTGTAGACCACCTCTACACTAAAACTCAAGTATTTATCAAAGTTGAAATTTAGTAAACTAATTTTGGGGTTTGAAAATGGTTCCCAGTTTTACCCTCTTACAAATTTGAAAAAAGTAGTTCTCTGATTAAAAAGTAGTATATACAATGAAGCTCAGGCCTGCCCCAAAGGACCACACAAAACAATCTCAAAGAGACTTGCTTAGCGTGTGACTCTCCGAGTCTACGAAACAAAATTAACTATCACATCCTAGGGGCTATGAACATAGATAAAGGTCCACTCACATTCCGAAGGCAAAGAATCACTTATCCATTAGATAATTAACAAGTTTTGGGGAAAATATAGTCTTAAAATCCACAAAACCCCATAAGAGATCTGGTTTCAAGATGGATTCGGTCGGGTTGGAGTGATTTGCCAACTCATTGAAGAAATTTGTTGTGCCAAGTTAGGAAATACTCAATGAAGCACCAAATCTACCAATTCATTTGAAATTATTTGACTCAAATCTTTGACTTGACTCTTGTCTGTGTCAAATTACTCACTGTTGGAACTTGAATCAGAACATGAGAGTCGTGTGTTCGAAGAGTTTGCTCAAGTTTTGGTGCCATAATCTCTTTATGGACGATAGGTTAAGCCCTTTGCCACCAACTACTGCTACAATTGTTGCATTCCCTAAATCTTATAAGCTTAAATCTAGTTATATGTTCACCTCGATCCTGTCCAGTGCCTTCTGCACACAGTTTGAGTTCAACCAATTACACTAACTCCATCCAAAACAGATTCTTAGCAGCCAGTAAGCTGGCTTCCACTTCCTTGGTTTCCTCCCAGCATAGTTTAAAGTATAGGCCGATATCGATACGAGTCAACATTTTGAGTCAATACTGTTACACGTTATGTATAAATCTTGAGTCTCGTCCGACTCGGTCGATTCGATTTTGTGACACTGCAATATGATTTGAATCTCTCTTCATGTTCAACCTTATCTTTTAGGTCATATTGCTTGATACTGCGCTGTAACGCCGCGACAAATTTGTCTTAGTGCTCTCTGAGTCAATGATCGATACCATGACCTTAAACCATGCCTCCTAGTGTTCCCACCTCACTCTTCTCATTGGCACATGGACTACACCCACATTCTCCACAAAGCACTCTGATCACCATTACTGAGTTTGAAGTTCTCACCTCCCATTTCTAGCTCAACACCCATCTTGCCGCCACCAGAGCCGTGGTTGGTGAATGGGGCATAAGTAATGAGCTTCAGGTATTAGAAATCTCAATCAAGTTTAAACAATTTTTAGGGTTAGATTCTTCAAGACTTCAACAGATTCCTTAACACACCAAATGCTTGATCCCATACGATAATTCACATGTTCTTGAAGCAACTCAAATTAATAGCTAGTTCAAGTACAATTCTCAGCACAACCAGGAAATAGAAACCCAACTGATCTCTTTAAATTTCATCCATAGTGCTCAAGCTCAACACCCACAATTCTCTGGGCACTGAAAATTCAACATGAGAAATCAAGCCCAATAGGAAACCATCCTCTTCCGGGCTCATCTCAAAGCCAAATAGTGTGGACAACCTGACATTAGACCGAATAGGTAACATGCACCAGCTTGTATCATGGAATGACATTGAAATTAAGTGCTCCATTGCATCTCATAGGCTGGTCAAAAGAAAAAGTTTGGCTTGAAAAGCGCAGTCCCACATGCGTCATAGATAATCATGAAACCCTAGTACAAGCACACCAAATTTAAGAAGTCCGGAAAACCCATTCTGAGGAAACATATTCAATCCCAAGTAACATCCAGAACATAACGATCAAGCCTCTGCTAATTTCTCTCCCCCTTTTCCTTTGCCCCATAAAAGAACTTGGCTGTTTTACCAGTTTTTGGTGTTAGTTAGTGTGCTATATTTATGAAGGTAATGGTATTCGCAGAAGCCAATTTTTTTCTGTTGTAAATAATTTCTTTTCTTTTGTAACAGGCTGTTATTGAGAGCAACATCATCAGTCCTCTAGTGTTTTTACTTGGACATGCTGAATCTCAAATCAAGGAAAAGGTTGCTTGGGCTATTTCAAATGTTGCTCGATGGGGTTATAGGGGACAGATTCGGTATATTTTTTATCCATCATGAACTCGTGAGCATATGCACTTTTATTATTATTTCATAAATAATGCTGAATTGACCACTCTATAAACTATTCCAAAACTGTCACTTATGGATCCTGTTTGTTCATTATGTTTGTCGTCAATTTCATAATAACATGTCAAAACTCAGTAGTTAGAACAGCTAACAGATAGAAGTATCTTGTATAGACAAGCATAACATTATGGTCGATGGGTTTGGCCTTGAAACTTAATGGTCAGTTTCACCTTATCCATGGGCAAAGTTTTAAAATACATTTTTATTGGCTGTTCGGAGGTTGGGGGTTCCAACCGTATCTGTCTGTTTTCTCCTTTCGTGTTTTGGGGGTAGGGGAAGGGGTTCGAAGACAATCAAGGACGTTTTTAGGCTGGAACTTGCTTAAATTTCACTCTGTCATTCATTGCCATGCATGAGTTTATGTGACTTTTACCAGGTTCAATTGGCCGGAATTCCAGTTCTTAGAGAACACTCTGGGTCCTTGTCAAGTGGCTAAGGAGCTGTTTTGAACATGGGAACCATGTTAGCTGATGATGAGACTTATAGGTTTTATTTTGTCCTGTGGTGACAAACTCATCTATTCCTGAATTGGTTAAAATTCGTGGTGGTAATAAAGGGAGAAACAAGTTTCCTGTCATATCAGGTTCTGTTATTTTCTTGTGAACCAGATAATGAAATGAGGTGCAAGACCAAAACAGAAAAAAAATTAACGAAGTGAGGCGGAGCTGACTTGAACCTTTTCTATAGATTTTCAAACAGGCATTAAAATTATATGTAAGTGTGGAAATTGTTGAGATGAGTTTATCATGACTTGACCTTAGTCGATTCAAACTCAAGACTAAATTGACTATTATATTGAACCTGCCCAAACCAGATTAACTTGATGTTGGTTTTCCAGATAATATTGTATTAAAACCATAGAGACTGCCACATTTGGGGCCAAGGCTAAGTTAACGTACCTATCCTAAAGTGTGTGGTGCTCTCATAATTAGATGCTGTGGAATTGTTTGGTTTATTTTTTAGTTCATGGGAAAGGCTGGTCTACATGAGGTATCCACTTGTGGCTGAATCGGTCATATTTGGTTCATTTTTGCTGACCAGGAGAAGATGATATCAATGAGCCTACTGGAAAAGAGAGGGGAAAGACGGGAGGGGAGGGGGGAGATCTGTTTTGTCTGCTTAATTCTTGGATTGCACCAAATCAGGTCCCACTCTTTATGATAGTTTGTGTGGATGTGAGGTGTAGAGAGAGAGAGAGAAACAACATTTAATTGTTCCTCACCTTTGAAAATCTTATTGTTAATGTCATCTGACATTTTGAGGCTTTTATGTTGATCAATGTTAAATGATGAGATTGAAGCAAACTGAATCAGTCGGTATTCTGGTTCCAATTTTACCAAAACAGTTTTAAGTAGATAAATTTTGGAAGGTTGCTTTTAGAGTTGTTATTCGTGAACATTATTGTTTAGATATCATGTCTTATGCATTTTGAGCATTCAATTTCACAAATATGCATGAGTTTGACTTTTTTCTCTTCAATTTCAGTTATAAATTTTTCTGTGGTATGACAGTATGAGCCATTGGGCCACTTGAAGAAGACAGAACTATACTTTTTCTTGGTCTGATAACTGATCCAGTCTATGTAACCATGGTTGAGATGAACTATTTCTTGTACAATGTGCTTTTTGTTTTCTCTGGGTGGTAATGAAAGAAGTCTTGGACAATGGCTTGAATTTTCATAAATTCTTGAATCTTTTTTATCTTTGTAATTCTTCTAATCATAATATTTGATTTATTTTTTTTCCCGCACAGGTACTTGGTAAGCAAAGGTTGCATCAAGCCACTTTGTGATCTTATAGATTGCGAAGATGTGATACTTGTAATTGAGTGCATGAAGGGCCTGGAGTGCATTTTAAGAGTAGGAGAAGCTGAGAAACAGCTTCACGGGGTCAAAGCAAATAATTATGCACGGATGATTGAGCAATGTGGAGGGTTATCTAAGATTATGAGGCTTCTAGTCAACGACAGAACTGGCAACAATTTAGATGGATATGGTATAGAGATTTTGCAGATGGCTGATAATATTTTCGAGAGCTATTTCTATGACGAAGAGGAGTAAGAGAGAACGTTCCAAATAGACGAGACAAGCTCATCTCAAGTTTAAATTTGGAACTAACCAAGCAGTTCATGGCATTGGTTTTTATGTTTCCTAGCACCTATTTTCCATCATCTTCCTCCTTTCTGTAAAGAAATATTCCATAGTTAGATGTGAGTCTTGAAAGTTGAATTTTTATTTAGATTGTTCTTCAGAGCATCAACTGGTGAACCTCAGCTTTCAGGACACCATCATGATGGCGGTCCATTTTCCTTGTAGGACTGCCTTAACTTGTGCTATACATTGCGATGATGACTTACCAAGCATTTACTTTTGTTATGTCTTCCTTAGTAGAGATTTGTTTGTGACAGAACTTCACTAGCAGCTTGGAATGAGTGCTACCGCTACCACTAAACCATGGAGTGGGCGGAAATTGGACACCAGGTGTATCTCATTCCACCCTACCTTAGCTGCCGTGAGGCTGACTCATTTCCTCAGTTCCACAGCTCCGCACCTCTGCTTCTGGTGTTGGGAATCAAAATCTTATTTTTCCAATAATTTCCTTAGAAACTTACACAAAGAATTATCCAACTCTATCCGTCCCAATAAGGTGCAGTAGACAGGGAGGTTTGGCTATTTTCTAAGACAGGGTATTCGGTCTAGTTGAGTTATTTTTTTGGTATTACATCCAGTAATTACGCTACGGCCTGACCTCTCGAACCACGGACAATGGAAAGATCTACCTGGGCTCGTCTCGTCTCGGTGTGATAACGTGATATTGTTGTTGAATATTTACTCCTTTAAGCTATATAACAGCCTTGTGAATACCAGTGGTTCATCCAGGAAGTATTGCATGGATTCACATTTTCTTACTACTGAAAAAAATATTTTTTTAATTTTCTTTCTAATTTCATGGTCTGAACAAGTGAGCCTTACAATTAATTAATTCAGCCGAATGGAGATAGAGACGGGTGGGGCTGCTGCAAGGTTGGCAACATGTGGACAAGACATTCCGGTGAGCTGCCATTTTTTTCCTCAACTACTTTCAAATATGAGCATCGTAACCCAACCCCCAACCCCCACCTTCACCTCATCCTTTTCTTTTAGGGGAGGGGGGACAGTCTTCCATGGCCTTCCCCTTTAATGTTTTTCAGTCTTCACTTCTTTATGCCTTCTCGTTTCATTCCTTCCATTGTTCAGGTACAGTAGCCTGTCCAAGAATGAATCAGAAAACTAGTCAATCAGTCTTCTAAAATGAATCAAATATACTTACCCCGTAAAACTATGGACGAGTAAAAGTGCGTGATGAAATGAAATCTTCCAAAAAATTGTAAAAAATTAATTAAAGAAATTATCTCGATATGTTAAACGATAAACCCAACTTACACTGACCTTTTTTTTTAATGCGAAATGTTTTTATGAATTACTGAAGTCTTTTTTTTTTCACAAGAATAAGAGACCTTGAATCGTATTATTTAAATGCCCAACACATCACAGGAGAAGGAGAAGACCGTCAAGCAAAAAGGGTAGTTAGGGGGGGGGGGGGGGAGGGGGTTTT